TATTATATTATTAACTTATTGGAAAAGACTTAAGTGCCCTTATTTAAGTAAGAGGCACTCGAACTAACATAACAATACACATCAACATTCTCAACAAGTGCAAAGACCAAAATACCCCTTCACTAACACCACTAACAGGGACTAAATGTTTGCTACATTCAGCCTTGCAATACTGCTCTTAGAGAAGTTAACACGGAGCCCCGAAATCCATTCAAAATAGATTATGATCCTTTTCAAGTTGACGACATTGTCTTCTCCAGCCTCTGAAAACATCATAATGTCGTCTGCAAATTGAAGGTGTGTCATCTGAATTGAATCTCTTCCAACTTCGAAACCCCTCACCAACCCTAACAGATTTGCCTTCCTCACCAATTGGCTGAAAATTTCCATTATGAGAGTGAAGAGTAAGGGGGAGAGGGGACATCCTTGCCTTAATCCCCTACTAGCCTTGAAGTAGCCTTTAGGTTGCCCATTGATTAGAACTGAGAACCACGTGGTTTTAATGTATCCCTCCACCCATTGTATCCATCTTCTTCCAAATCCCATTAGCCTTAGTGTTTCTAATAGACATTCTCAATCCACTTTGTTGTATGCTTTTTCCAAGTCTAGCTTCATAATCACCCCCGGCTTGCCATTCATTTTCCTCTCTTCCACGCATTCGTGTGCTATCAGAATGCTATCGACAGTTTGCCGTCCTTTTACAAATGCAAATTGATTAGGCGAAATGATCTCACCTAGAACTTCCTCTATTCTCCTAGCCAGCACTTCTGCTAGAATTTTGTAAACACTTCCCACTAAATTGATTGGTCTGAAATCTTTCACTTCAGGAGTACCTTGTTTTTTTGAAATCAAACATATGAAGTTGGAGTTATTCTCCTTATTTAATATGGCCGAGTGGTAAAAGTCTTTAAACACCTCTAGCAGATCTTGTTTAATGGTATTTCAGAAAATCTGATAGAAAAAAAGAGGAAATCCATCTAGCCCTGGTGCCCTGTCACCGTCCATATTAAAGACTGCTTCTATCACTTCTTGTTCTTGAAATTCCCTTTCTAACCAGATTTTACTTATCTTTGAAATTTTTGAACCTTCCCAAGAACTTAGATGAGAATTTCTACTTTCAGTCTTTGAATAGAGATCTTTGAAAAAACTTACAAAGGCTTTAGAGATTTCTTCGGGGTCCTCCTTCTCTCTTTGCTTGATTTTTATTTTTGAGATGTGATTCATTTTCCTCCTTCCAGAAGCATATATGTGAAATGGAATTTTTATCTCCCTCTTTCAGCCATCTGATCCTTGATTTTTTTCTCCAATACACTTCTTCACGCCTTACCACCTTTTCCCATTCTTGTCTTAAGATGGTTGTCCTTCTTCCACTCTCCTCTAACTGGCCAATTTGCTCCTTTTGGTCCAAGTCTTCTAATTCTAATAGTAAGAGTAATTCCTCTTCCTTTAAAGCTTTAAATTCCTCTTTCCCCCACCTTTTTAGATTCCTTTTCACATACTTTAGCTTTTCCAGAAATCTGTGACTTGGCCAGCCTTCCACTTTGCATTCCTCCCACCAGGTTGCCACCTTCTTGGAAAAATCTTTATGCTCAGCTCGGAATTTTTCCAATCTGAAAGGGGTTTTCCCTGAAGCTTCAGATTTGTGGTAAGAGCAATTGGCTAATGATCAGAGATGCAACGGGGCCTGATCTCTTGATAGTTCAATGGATAGAGATCTTTCCGTTCTGGTGATATTAGAAATCTGTCTAGCCTGCACCTTAAAGCATTCTCCTGCATGTTGGACCAGGTGAAATTACGATTTCCAAGGGGAAGGTCATGCAACCTGTGTCTAGAAATGAATTTGGAGAAATCCCTCGTACTTCTGTTTACTCTTTTCCCGTTTGAGTGCTCATAACTGAATTTAGTGACATTGAAATCCCCACCCACAACCCAAGGGATGTCTGCCTGGTCATGAAGGGAATCCAATTCCTCCCAAAACTGATTCCTCTTTGAGGGGGTGTTTGGATCATAAACCACAGTTAGGATCCAGGTGAAATGTTCTTCCTTGTTATTGAACAGGACTGAAATCATGAAATCACCTTTGTCTATTTCTACTCCGGACACTACATCTCTCCACATTATGATAATCCCTCCTGAGGTGCCTGTGGCCGGAAGGGCTGCCCAATTTCTGCCTGTTGTTCCCCAAATTGATTTTACCAATCTCCTGTCCACGAATTCTTTTTTTGTTTCCTGCAAGAGAATTATGTCAGGATTCTCTCTTCTCAACGTGTATTCCACTATGCTTCTCTTGACATCACCACCCAACCCCCTTACGTTCCAGCTCAATATCTTCATTTGTTGACTTTAGCTGGCTTTCCCTTAATCTTCTACTCTCTTCCCCTCTGCTATCTGCATTTTGGCCCATTATCCCCCATTGCAGATGCTTTAATTCCCTATTGGTTCTTTTTCTTTTTCCTTGCTTTAAATCATTTACTTCCTTAGGCTGACAAGCTTCCTTTGTGTTCTTTCTTTCCAAGCTCGAGATCCCACTGGTTCCACTACAGTGAATTCCTAGTTTCCCTGCCATCTCTATAACTTTAGTTACTTTCCGTTTTTCCTTTTCTTGGCTTGCTGTAACTTTGTCCCCTGCTATGACCAGCGAAGTTCCCTTTGGACCAGAACTGCGATCGTGAATACTGGGATGTTCCAACAGTTGGGATTGTTGGTCGCCTGAACCTGGATCACAAGTAAACAAATGGCTACAGTGAGAAGGAGGAAAGCTACAATGATTTCTCATCTGTTTTCCACAAACCACCATATATTCCTCTTAACCTTAACTTCATTATAGATTGTTTTAGATACATCAAGTGATCTCTCATCTGTTTTCCACAAATAGAAAATTTTACCAATCTTAAACAATTTCCAGCCATGTAGGTGCACACTACCTTAGTTTTCTAGGTATGAGGACATCTTCATTCATATTTCTTTCTTCTCTTATTGGCTATGATCATATGCTCAACTAATAGCAATTTCTAATGGTTGTTTCCTCAAATTCCTTTGCACTTCCTCTTAAATTCATTTGTGTTAATCACTTATATTTTGGATCAAGTGATTATTGATTTTTTCAAGTGCAGAGAAGGGGTGAGAGTTAAAGCTTACTCTGCTTTCAGTTCATCATGGGAAATGGTTCAGTATAAACAGGATCATACAGTGGGTTGCTTACTCTGTTATGCTTTTGTTTTCCCTGTTATGCATTACTCATGCGTTGAAGAAAACAAAATATCTGGATTTTGATATCTATTGGAAGAAATTTGAGGAAAAGTACCATTTCTCTTGCCAATGTACTGCTGACCTAATCACCATGAACAATGCAGATTTTATCATCACAAGTATATATCTAGAGATTATAGGAAGGTAAGTCCATTATCTGTCATTTTGTATTTGAAATGGTCTGTGACTGTAGGAATTATTTTTTCTATTTCTGCTGGTCTATACTGTATTGTTCTGATGTTTCATCTATGATGGCCTTTCTCGAAATAAAAGAAAACTAAATCTTACATTTTTTAATATAGTCACTTCATTAGTTCCTTTGTGGCAGAACTTCAAAACATATAAACTTAAACTAAAAAAGCATTATTCCAGCTATAAAATTTCCAAATCATGTATCTATATAATATTCCTAAGTTTTCTATAAATGTTAAGGGATTTTTTTTTTTTCAATCCAATTTTCTGAATCTTGTAATGGATAGAGAGCCATAATTTTTTCCAATTTGACTGATGTATATTGTGGTTTTTGTCTGCATGTATAGTTTCCCCCATGTAATCTGAGGTTTTTGGTCCTCCTTCCTTTTATAATAAAGTTCTTATTTAATTGTAAAAATAAATAGTAATATTCCCATGGATCACTTGTTTCTGCAAAACCCTTTCTTTTCACCTGGATTTTGCACAAGATAACCTTCCATGGTAAATTAGGCTGATTCATGGATTCCTCTTACCTTTTTCTTCATTACCAAAATTATTCTTAAAAACTGCTCCATTGTTATCTCACAAAATTTTTTCGTACCCCATTTTTGTTCTCCAACATACATCATTCTTTTAATACTTCACAGGTCTTGGCAAAACTACTTAGATTGGACAGAGGCAGAGGCAAACACAGGTGAAACACCGATTCTAACCTGGGATTTCTGAGTTAAAACTATGCGAGTGAAGGTGGTCTTACCATTTTACTTTTCTTTCAAAGATGCCTGTATACCCTGCATTCAATTTCTTAACTGTTCAGCAATTTTCATTTCCACTATTTGTTTATTAACCTTTTTGCATTTCTAATCAATCTTCATTCGAGAACTTCTTTCAAAAGCTCAATCAAATAGATCTGGAAGCTGCATTAAAATGAAAAAGAGGATATTCAAATTCATAAAAGGAATTGAGGAAGATGCAATATGAGTCACAATGGTTTAAACAATCCATCTTCAATAAGAATACTACCTTAATGAACAGAACAAATACAGATAAACATATTAAAAAAATGGTTAGGAAGATGTACAAGTCATAACCATACACCAAGATGAAATTTTGACAAAATTTGTAGTACTAGAGATAATGGTCAGAAGCTAAATTAGATTAATGGATAGATATTTGTTTGTTTTTATGAGAGAGACTATTGATAGGCTTCTGGTCATGGACATTGAACATTTGATTGTGCCTCATCTTCAATGAAAATGAAATGTTTACTCGTGTAATAAGTGTCAACATTTAGGAGTTAAATCATGTAATCAGGTATTTCCTTGAGTATATCATGTAGAAAATGGGATCCATGGCCCATTTTCTATATGCTATTTAAGCTCTCTACTGACTTTCTTTTCGGCAGTAATGGCCTGTCAATAGGTATTTCCCTAAGCTACATTTAGGTTCTTTTTGCAATTCTTCCTTGATCCAGCATATGTATTGCTTTATTTGGCCTTCGTTTTTTATCATTTAAGTGGACTATTGGTTTGGAGTTATTTGGTGTTTTCTTGGGTTGAAAAGAAGCAGGCTTTGGAAATGTTGGGATTCATTTTGAGAAGAACTTATTTTTCCTTTTTATTTATTTATTTTTAATTTGAGCTTATAAACTTTCCAGGTTCTGACAGAGCTACATATATGCTTTTTTTGTACAAAAACCAAAAACAGAGCATTATATTAACACAGCAAAATGGTTTTCATCCAGACCATCTTCTGACAATTGATAAATTCTGTTGGTGCCACTTTACACACATCATATGCTATATTATGAGCCATCAGATTTAGACTTATTGAAAGCATTTACTTATAGCTAAGACTTGATCCTTCAGAGGTTGCTCCATCCAGTCACACTCAATATGAGAATTCTGCAACTTCACCACCACATTTGCAGCATCTGAGAACAGAATAACATGACTAGGTTTTTTAACTTTGATTGCTTCCAATCACTCGGCATCCAAACTTCTGTGAGCTTTGCATATACTTCCTGCTGCATCCAACACTTCACCATCTTTTAAAAATATCACATAAGCTGTAGCAGCATTTCCAGTATTTGGATCAAAAGATCCATCCACATAAACAGAAATTGCATCTTCTTGAACATGACTGTTTATGATGTGTGCCATTGTCATTGATGAATCCTTAAGATCCAAATGCTGTAAGTAGAATTTCATTGTTCCCAGCACTGAGGCTTGACTGGGTCTCATATTATAATCTTGGAAGAATTAATTATTATATCCACCCTCAATTTTTTTTACCGAAGTCTTTTATCTCATTTCCCAGGTTTGCTGCTAGTTAATGATTTAGTACAAGTCCAATTAAAGTGAAGAGCCAAGATCAATTTGAACATCCTTTATTTCTGAATTTTTGTTAAGGGTGCGGGCGCAAACGCTGTCTCCGTCCCCCTGATAGTCCTTGTTTCTGAATCCATCTGAATCAACCAGTTATGGGTTTGGAAGGGAAAGCAGTAAATGAAGAAGTAGCAGATACACAAGTGCCACGATGGTCCTTTCTCAGGTACAACTCACCCCTGGTGCAGGTTAGCATGACTGGGCTAGTATGCTTCTGCTGTCCAGGTATGTTCAATGCCCTCTCTGGCATGGGAGGTGGTGGTCAAGTGGACCCTACAGCTGCCAACAATGCCAACACAGCCCTCTACACTACCTTTGCCGTCTTCGGCATTCTTGGCGGTGGAATTTATAACATCCTCGGGCCCCATCTCACTCTCTTCTCTGGATGCTGCACTTATGTCCTCTATGCTGGTTCTTTCCTCTACTACAACCATCACAAAGACCAGACCTTTGCCATTGTTGCCGGTGCCTTTCTTGGTGTTGGTGCTGGCCTCCTGTGGGCTGGCCAGGGTGCTATCATGACATCTTATCCTCCTCCAGCACGAAAGGGCACCTATATCTCACTCTTCTGGAGCATCTTCAACATGGGCGGGGTCATAGGTGGGTTGGTTCCATTTATCCTCAATTACCACCGCATTGAAGCTGCTACTGTCAATGACTCCACTTATATTGTCTTCATGTGCTTCATGTCTGCTGGTGCTATCCTCTCTTTGGCAATCTTGCCACCCAGTCGTGTCATTCGCGATGATGGCACCAAGTGTACTAGCATTAGGTACTCTAATGTCTCCACTGAGGCCATTGAAATTCTCAAGTTATTCCTGAATTGGAAGATGATCCTCATAGTTCCAGCCGCCTGGGCTAGCAACTTCTTCTACAGCTACCAATTTAATAATGTGAATGGGGCTCTGTTTAATCTGAGGACCAGGGGTTTGAACAACGTATTCTATTGGGGAGCCCAGATGTTGGGATCGATAGGTATTGGTTATATCTTGGATTTTAGTTTCCAGAGTCGGAGGATTAGGGGGTTCGTCGGGGTTGGGATTGTTGCTCTGCTTGGGACCGCTATTTGGGGTGGTGGGCTTGCCAAGCAGTTGACATATTCTCGCCACAATCTCCCTGCAAAATTAGACTTCAAGAACTCAGGAGTGGATTATGCTGGGCCGTTTGTGTTGTATTTCAGCTATGGCTTGTTGGATGCCGTGTTCCAGAGCTTGGTTTATTGGGTGATTGGATCCTTGGCTGACGATTCTGAGACACTTAGCAGGTAGTTGTCATATTGATTACGAGTTCTGTGAAATTCAAAATACCTTGCCTGTACTCTGTACAATTTTTATACGCGTTTCATCATTGGCTAAGTGTAGGTACAGTGGTTTTTACAAGGGAGTGCAAAGCGCAGGAGCCGCTGTTGCTTGGCAGGTTGATACTCACAACGTCCCCTTCTTGTCCCAGTTGATTGTGAATTGGTCTCTTACTACTTTAAGCTATCCGTTGCTGTTGTTGCTAATCATGTTGGCAGTAAAGGACAGCAACAAAGCTAAGGAGGGAATCACTGAGGATGCTGTTCGACCTTCACTTCCACTTGCTGTTGAACGTGCTTAATAAGTCCACCCAATAAATCCCATACATCTCTTTTTTTTTTTTCCTTCATTTTTTAGCCCTTTGGCAGAAATTCTTGTAGGAAAGAAGCAATTAATTCTCAGAGCTATGCATACAATTTTTTTTTTTTTTTTTGTGTTTCTGATTAAGATTGGAAACCTAATCCACATCATGTATTTATAATTTAATGCATTTACTAATATTTGTTCCATGTTGATTCAAGATTTCAATTAATCACATTAAAGATGTCACATGATCTAGTTATATTTTATTGGTTCACATTTCATAAGATAAACTTATTATTATATCAATTGTGAGGTGCTGTTTAATCACTGGTTCACATTTTTTGCTGCATGGTGTAGTTGATGCATCACGGATTTTGCCTTTAATGAATCTTACTTCGTTTGCTTAATCCTCACCAAAAGAAAAAAAAATCGGTATGCTTAGTCATGGTTATGCACATCTGAACAATGTAGATTTAGCTCAGACTGGACGGGTTGGACTGTGAAGGCTTTGAACTGGTGGCCTTATCGGGTCCTATTGAATGATGATGATTTTGGTGGTTTTTTGTGGGCTGGACGGGCAAACCACCTAATTAACTGTTAAGACTGGGACCTGTGGGGCATTCCAGTTTATAGTTCGGTTTGAGTCTTACAACACTATCTAAATATCTAATCTTGGTGTAACAAAACACATTACTACCATGTTCTGATATTTTATTTCCAATCTCAGCATTGTTTTGCTGCCCTTTAAATTAGGCAAAATTTATCAGTTAATAGAATATGGTAGCGTTTATCAAATTAGACGTGGGAATGTCAAATTAAGAACAATATTTGATGAAGTCCAACAACTATACAAAACTGAAAGTGCAGACTAGTTTATGGCTTTTTGCAAATGCTTGATGTTGGGGAAGTTGGAATTTAGAAGGGTCGATGATTTCGTAAAACCAAATACTGGATTATTTTCCTCATTGTAGGTTAAAATTATAAAAGCCTAAGTTTGCACCATCGTGAGCGAAGGATATTTTCGTCACTTCCGAGGTTTAGACCCCTTCCGCCTCTTCCCTTCTGTCTATGAGAGATGGGGGGTGGAGAGAAGAGTCTCTGACGCATATCAAGTTCAAAGTGGGGGATGGTAGTAGAGCTTCACTTTGGGAAGATATTTGGTACTTGGTCAGCCCCAATCCGAGGACTTTCCATACAAGGTCTAAAAGTTTGATAGTATATGTTTCATATCGGGTGTGTCGTATCGTATCAGGAACTTTTTAAAATCCCAAACAAAAACATTACAAACTTTGACTATTTTCAGGGGTTAGGCATGCTTAAAACTAACCCCTCATGAAATTTTGAAAAAGAAAACTTAAAATAACAAAGTTATAAAGTAGCGAAACACTCGATGCACCGGTTTGTACGTATCGGGTGTATCGACATCTTTGCTTTCTATGCTTTTAATAGAGATGGTGTGGTAAGTGAGTTCATGAAGACTGTGAATGGCCATTTAATTTGGACCCCAAGCTTTAGGAGGAATCTTAATGTTTGGGATGTGGATGTTTTGCAAAATCTGCTGATGCGCTACGAGAAGTTGAAGTCAATCCGAGCTCGAGTGATGCATAGGTTGTGGGCTTGTGAAAAGAATAAACTCTTCACTACAAAATCTTGTTATTCTGCTGTCATGGGGTGTGGTATCAAGGTTACCAAGTCTTGGATTTGGAAGGTACGGGTTACCAAGTCTTGGATTTGGAAGGTACGGGTTACCTCAAAAACTGTGGATGTTTTGCTGAAGCAAGGTTTAAAATTTGAGGAAACTTGTAGTTTTGCAGATCAGCAGCTGAATCTGTCAACTGTTTGTTAATTTACTGCCCTTTCTCACATCAGGTGTGGTGCCACTTCTTTGGGCTTGTAGCTGATCTGTTATCATCTTGGAGGTGTGGTGTCTTTTCATCCAAAGGAGAACTACTTTTAGAGAAATCATAACTTTGTTTGATCCTATCATAAATAATCAAGAAAATGAAAGTTTTGGTTTCTATCCCTACTATTGAGGAGGTGCGTCCTGTTGTTATGTGGCCTGATGGGATACTTGCCCTTGTTTACCAAAGGTTTTGGGATGGGGTGAGGGGGATATTTATGATTTTTTATGCAAATTCTTTTCGAATAAAAAGCTGTTTAAGGAGAATTACTCACACTTTCATTACCCTTATTCCTAAGGTCTCTGATCTGAGCGTAGTTAAATATTATAAGCCTATTGGCTTGTGTAATGTCTTAAATTTTATCTAGACTTAAATTAGCTTTAGATAAATGGATTTCCTCTTTTTAGTGAATTTAATTTTGATAATATTATTATTACCCAAGAACTTGTGTATTTCTTGAAATCTAGAAATTCTTGCTGGTGGGGAAACCATGGCCCTTATGTTGGGTCTAAGTCTATGACACTATTGAATGGGGATAATTGTTGTAGGCCCTTAGGACTTTAGGTTTTTGTGAGGATTGAAAGTTCACACCTGTTCCCCACAGAGCGTGCCCCAAAAATACCCCACATGCACATATCAGCGTGCATGGGAGCATCTCCCATATTTATCATTGGGAGATGTTTTCAATACACAGTTGGGATGTGCTGTGGGACGTTTTTGGGACACACTCTATGGGGGTGCAGATGTGAATTCGAGGATTGATGTCTTGATTGATTTTGAAAGCTAATAAAGAGATTAAGCTTCTTGCAGTTTCTATCACTTAGGATGTTCCTCCTATTTCTCACTTGTTTGTTGGTGATGTTCTTTTTGAAAAAGTTAATAGGTTAGAAGATGCTAATTTCTTACATTTATTAAAAGAGTTTTCAAACCTTTCTGAATTGTTATCTAATAATTTTAATAAATCTAGAATTTTGCTTAGTAAGAGCACCCACTACAAAGGTGTGAAATGTTAGGAAGACAATTGAAAACCTCTCCTTTAATTTGGAAGAAAGAAATCTGTCTTTACAATTTATTTTGGAGAGAATGAAAGTTAAACTTAGTAATTGGAAGGATTCTTCTTCATCCTATGTGGGAAGGAAGGTATTGGTGCAATCTGTTCTTCAAACCATTCCCATTCACTGCATGAGTGTTCAATTTTCTAAAAGAAATACAAATGATAATGAGTAATGAGAAAAATTCAATGAAGATTTTGGTGGAATTAGCCAGAGAGCAAACATTCTTTGAAATGGTTAAGTTGTTATAGACTTTGTGCAAGGAAGGGGGTTTAAGGATTCAAAAGGGATGTTGGTGAATGAAGCTTTAATTAGTTAGTTTGGAGATCTTTGATTAGGGAAAACAATCTTTGGGTGAAACTATTAAGGCCTCGTTCGCATTTCAGTAAATGTACTTATCCAGACAAATGTTTATTGAGAAACACTTATTTGGATAAGAGTATTTATCAATGTTCTTTTATTCTCTAGGTAAACGTGTACAATGACTGATTTATCCAAAATAATGACATTATTGAAGGGATTGTCCCATAATGTATTAGTGATTATTGGTGTGCATGGCAGTAATTTACCTAAATCTAAAGAGACTATTACTTTCCCAGGTAAAGTAGCTACTTGGAGAATCATTCTTTTTTGTGGAACCCACTAATATCAAAAAATGAATGTGAGTTTATTTCTTTTCCATTGGACCTACCAACATTTCTGCCCCTACTTCCTGAAAAACGAAGAGGCCTAAAGAGTACATATCTCACAAATAATGAGAAAATTCCCCAAAAGATTGGTTCTACAGCTTCTAATATTTGGAAATCTATGGGAAAAGATTTACTTGATTTTTTTTTTCACTAAATTGGGGTTCAGGTTCATTGTGATTCTTCTTTGAATGTGTGGAACATTGCTCTGATTGGCCAAAACTCTTCTTTAGCAACATCCTATGGGTCCCCCTAGCAAGGATGTTTGATTTAATCACTCCAGTGGAGAGGGGTCCTGGAATAGAGAGAAAATTGCTTCAAAATTTTCAGACGGGAAGACTCATGAGATCATAAGTACTCATATTTTTAGAAGGGGTCATGATAAGGTGGGAATTTTTCGGTTAAAGATTTGTGCTTATGTAAATGGAAACATGATAAAGTCTCACCTAGATTCAAAGTTTTTCAATAAGGAATTATTAGGGGTTTTGTGCTTGTAAAAGATGAGTTGTATAAAAGAGGGATCGTCTCTAATAGAGTTTGTTGCATTTGTTTTGTTCATGCCCTTTCACAAGAGCCATTTTATTGCAAGCCCTTGGGGTATGCCTTTGATATTTTCACTTATATTATGAACCTATTTTCTAACAATTCTGAGCTCACTTGTATCATTTGGCTTTTCTGTGTTTAATGATGATAAATTTGTTGTGGCTGTAGGTGGCTCTTTGGGTATGGTTAAGGACAGTTATGAAGCTGAGCTGACTGCTATGTATTCAGTACTCTCTTGCTAAGCAGAAAGGATGGAAAGTTGTTGGCTTTGAAGTCAAATTCACAAAATGTTTTATCTGCTTTCTTAGTGCTGTGTTGCTCATCTAGATCTGTTTAAGTCTATTTTGGTTCTGTTTCTTGTAGTTATTGGTTGTACATAGAGCTGCTATTCATGATCTGTGTTCCGGTTGAGCTTTTGCAAAATTTGAATGGATTCGACCCGGCCCGAGTCTGAAGCAATGTAAAATGTTCATGGGCCAAGCCTGAAGCCTGGCCCGTGAACAGGTCTAAGGAGATTCAGTAGTTCTGAATCTCGTAGCTTGTGCCTTGTATGGTGCGACAATCCATGTCTACCCTTCTTTCTCCTCTCTTTTTCTTTGAATTCATTTGATGTAGGCGCACATCGCGCATGCACGCGGCAGGCAGTGGCACTCAGGGCGGACCTAATGAGGGCACATGCAGAAAAGAGGTCGGCGTGTGACACGGAGCCAATGGTGCAGCCGCACGTGGTGGCTTCGGATGGCCGTGCTCTTCAAGGCTGGACCGCATCCTGACCGTCCGAGCCCACCTACCTCTAAGCGGCCTCAAGTATAAATAAGGGCAATCCTCTCAAGATAAACATATAGACTCTGGATTGCTAAGAGCTCTACTGCTTTGTGTGACCTTATTTGAGGACTCCTTACTCGGGTCTCATCCACCTCCTACTACTCCCGTATTAATTTAATCGTCGGAATCTCCGCCTCGAGTTAGCGCCCAGAGGCTCTAACGTCTTTTCTCTCTTCGCAGGTCTGACCTACCAGCCCCCGACCACGATAGACCTCAGACTCATCA